GATAAATGTTACATATATATATAATCTTTTTGTTTACTAAAGGAAGTATTACCATTTTAACATTTATAAAGAATATCCCTGGGACTGGGGATTTAGCTCAGTGGTTCAGGCGCCTGCCTTGTAAGCTCAAGGTCCCGAGTTCGATCCCCAGTACCAAAAAAAAAAATCCCTAAGACATGAGGAAAACTTATTAAGATAGTAACATTATCTCATTTAGTTTACCTCCATAATCAGATGAACAAGGATCACATCTAAATGCACTGAGCTTTTGGTAGTTCTAAGATAATAAAGGTTGACTGTGTCTTCTCCAAAATGCTTAATACTATAAGCACTTCCAATTCAGAATTTTTCAGATTTTAGAATATATCCTTAGGTTTTACAAGACGAACATCCCTAATCTAAAAATCTGAAATTGAAACTTCTCTGAAGTCTGATTTCTTGGGATTTTTTTTCTTTCAGTACTCACAATCGAATGCAGTGCCTTCACACTCAGCTACATACCCAGACCCTTTTTTTATTTCTTGACATAGGTCTCATTAAGTCACTAAGTTCTCCAGGCTAGGCTCAAACTTACAATCCCCCTGTTTCAGCCTCCTAGAATGCCAGGATTACAGGCATGCAACATCATGCATAGGTCAAAGTCTGAAAATTTTGAGCACCATTTCAATGCTCAATTTGTACTAAATCAAACAACCTAGGAATCATTTATTACTGGATTCTCTAATATGATGACTCATCTCATTAAAGACCTCTGTGCCCATGTGGCAGCTCTCAGCATAAATGCTACACCAAAGATGTACAAGCCTAGTCTTTGAGTAATATGAAGAGTCACAAAGTCATGACAGAGAGCTAGAAGAAAACCCAGAATACCCGCAAAATGCTTGAAAAATACAAAAGGAGAGGAAAAGTGAAAGACTAGGTGCTGGAATTTCATGCCATAGAACCAAAGGAAAAGCCCTTGTCTATCAGCAGCAAAAACTGGTAGAATGTCATATATCTTACCTTGGGGCCTGCAAAATAATACTGATCTAAACTGTGATTCCCCCAAGTCTCATAAAATACAACAGGATAAAAATCAATCAAAATCGAAAATCCCAGGTGAGGATGAGACAGGAGAATTTTAAATTTGAGGCCAGCCTATGCAGCCTTTCAAGACCCTGTCTCAAAATTAAATTTTAAAAAGGGCTGGGAGTATAGCTCAGTGCTACAATGCTTGACCAGCATGCACAAACCTGGGTTCAACCCCAAGCACTGAAGAGGAAGAAAGGAAAGAAGGGAGGGAGGGAGGGAGGGGAGAAGAAAGGAAAATGAAAAGTAAGGGGGGAAAAAAAGCAGACCAAAGCAAGAGAAAAGAAAGGAGAGAGGGCGGGGGAGTTAGCTCAGTGGTTTCCCCACGTGCTGCGCAAGCGCAAGGACCCGAGTTCGATCCCCAGTACCAAAAAAAAAAAAGAAAGGAGGGAAGAGATTGTGTACAAGGACTCTGGGACACTTCAGGACAAAAAGTCACTTAGCTATTATCCCAAGCAATTTCCTTCTACTTCTAAGCAATATAACTGTAACTTTTCACAAAAGTTGAAATAACGTTGCAATGGCAGTATCACTTCCAGACTGTGACACTGTGCTTAACTCTACTAACTACAGCTTTAGGGCAGCAATGGCGAGCCTTTTAAAGAGCTTTCAATGATAACAACCTGCCCACTGCTGCACTCTTGACATAGGTTCACCGCCACTGCTTTAGGGTATTCACACTCAAATATGTATCAATGGATATTTATTTACTTACACTGAGGCTTAAACCTAGGACCTATGCACATCAGGCAAGCACTCTACCCTGAGGTACTTATCCCACCACAAGGGGACATTTTTGGCAGTTGTAACAAAATGAGAAAAATATTAATACAGGGAATTAACTGTATTGTATTTAATGAACAGTCCTTAAGTCTGAAATTAAATTCTCACTATCAGACAGTTATTACAATTAGTTTTTTTCAAGGTAAATGTATGGTGATAAGTGACGGTCATTTATGTTTTTTTAAATAAGTCCTTGTTTAGCAAAAAAAAAATTTTATTTTGCTGATTCTTAAAATCCAAACACTAGAGTACCAACAGAAAGGTCATTTTATGACTTCTATCAATATTTATATTTTACTACTTATTTATCCATTCATTCTGTTCATTTCATTCATTTGTTCTTTCATTCATTTTGAGACAGACTGTCGTCTTGCTGTTTCCCAGGTTGTCCTGGAACTTGATGCCCTCCTGCCTCAACCTCCTGAGTAGCTGAAATTAAAGGAATGCACTACCATGCCCAGCTCCATTCCCACAGTTATTGTGCAAAGCCTAGCAGTTGCTCAAGTCTTAACATTTTTCAGATGTTGTGCTCCTCTGCTGAGTTCCAGAGCAGATAGCTTTAATTCTTAGTCACAAACACTCATCATTCTTAAGTGTATTTATTCTAGTTTCTGGCCCACTATAACTTTATAACTGACTTTGGAATTCCTTTTTATTATTCTTTATTTACTCCAATCAATACTTCTCAATCATTAAGATCCAACCTATAGGGCCAGGGATTTAGCTTAGTGGTTTCGCCAGCTCCTGCACAAGCGCAAGGACCTGAGTTCGATCCTTGGTACAAAATAAAAAAAGATCCAGCCTATAGTGCTTCTCCATGAAGCCTGCTTCTTATCTCTCTCTTCTCTGAATTCCTACTATACATGTTACTTCATTACTGTTTTTGTATATGCTGTGCTTTTTTGTTTCGAGTTGCATCTTACATCCTTGGAGAAAGCAACTGAGTTATCATGGTTTGAGATCCTTATCCCACCTCTGGTATAGCACTTGCTACACAGTAAATTCTCAAAGGCCGTCTTCCACTCAAATACACATTTACACTTGAAAATATTTGCCTCACAGTACATGAATAGTCTTAGGAGGTGTGATAGTTCATTGTGGCGTCAACTTGAGTAAGTAAGGCCTAGGGCATAGTTTAGCACAGTTCTGGGTGTGTGTGGGTGACTGGCTTTTTGAAGATGGAAGACCCACTGCAGCTGTGGGGAGCAACAACTAATAGGCTTGTAGCCTGGCTGGAACAAAAAGAGAAAGGAGTCCCACTTTTTGTGAGGAGCTCTTTGGAGGAGGTCCAGTCTTCACCATCACCTTTGGACATCCATCTCCACTCTTCATTCTTCTGGTACAGAAGCTTCTGCTTCCTAATACAGATTCACTAGGGACTCTGCAGTGAGTTCCAGGCCTTTGATCTTTGACTGGATCCTCTGGCACTCCTGCATGCAGACAGTCCTTTTTGCATTCTTCTACCCCTGACTCTGCAGATGGCCATTGTAAATCTACCTTGTAATTTATATTTATATTTTATAATTTCTAAAAATCTGTTCCTCCAGTGAACCTTAATGGATACAAGAGGCTACAATCAAAACTCTGTGATGCCAGGTGTGGTGACACATGCCTGTAATCCCAGCCATCAGGAGGCTGAGGCAGGAAGATCACTGTGAGTTTGAGGCCAGCTGGGCTACACAGCAAGTTCAAGGCCAGTCTGAACTACATAGTGAGACCCTGTCTCAAAAAACTAAACAAACAAAAAAAGACCCCATGATCTAAACATGTTATATCACTAAATATTCTTCCCTTAGCCACTCACAATGGCACATGCCTGCTATCCCAACTACTAGGGAGGCTGAGGCAGGAGGATCACAAGTTCATGGCCAGTCTGGGCAACTTAGCAAGAACATTCCCAAAAGGAAATTTTAAAAAGAGCAAGGGATGGGGCTGGGGATTTAGCTCAGTGGTTCCGCCGCCTGCCTCGAAAGCACAAGAACCGGAGTTTGATCCCCGGTACCAAAAAAAAATAGAGTAAGGGATGTAGCACAGTACTACATGAGTTCAATCACCAGTACTAGGGAGAAAAAAAGAAAAGAAAACTTGCCTTTTCCAAAACTCAATGATCTACAGTATATATTATAAACTGCAAGCACGCAGCAGAAACTGTCAGTTCCCAACCTAACATTCATTTCGATCATCTTCCTTACCAATAAAACTTTTGATCATTTTCCTACTTTTCTTGCAGTCCAAGTCCAAGTCTAGGAGATCCAATAATTGAAAAGGTAGTAGCCATTTGTGATCATTAGGAAAAGTGTTTACACGAAAAGGACGTCATAGCTAGAGAAAACACAGGTAACTAGTGAATTCATCAAAACGTTTCACTGGCTCTGAAATGCCTATCCACACGTTTCTCATTCTATGACGTATGCAGGCATTGCAATGTTCCCAGAAGCTAACATAATCCTTAACACGAATTAGGGGGTGGGGGTGTCACTAAAATCTGATAACTAATTCATTATAAGAAGCTGGGAAGAATAATGAATACTGCTATTTAATACATGAAGAAAACAGAGACAACAAAGAACCTCATGACAAATAACTATTTGTCCTCTTAGTCCAAAGACCCTTCATTGTTATATATGTAGCTTACATAGAATTCAGGACAATGACTGCTTGTGTTTGAATCCATAGCTCTCCACTGTGTGAATTCAGTATCTCCATTTTTCTAAACTGTAATGAAGAAATGAAGCCAGCTATGGTGACGTACACCTGTAATTCTAGCACTCAGGAGGCCGAGGCAAGAGGATCACCATGAGTTCGAGACCAGACTGAGCAACATGGTAAGTTCAAGGCCAGCCTGAACTATATAAGGTAGCAAGAACCTGTCTCAAAAAAATAAAATTCAAACATATAAACTAAAAATAATTTTTCTCAATGACATTAACCATTTATTTAAAGACTTCCTTTATCTCCGACTATCACAAAGTGTATTAAAAAAAATAGTGAGCAGGATGAAAACTCAAAGTACGTATTACTTCCTTTTTCTTCTCTCTTATGGAAGTTGCCTTATGCTTACAAAGATTTCAGAACATCAAAGTTTCACCTGTAGAATACAACTATAAATTTGAAATAGGTAGTTCTTTGTATTTTTAAAATTTCCTTACCTTGAAGATCCAGTGCTCTTACAAACTCCAAGAAGGGGTCTTTTTTCAGCAAAGTTATCACACTTTTGAGCACCTATTAGGGAGCACAAAACAGAATATAAATTGAAGAATATTTTTATATACCTCTCTTTATTTCATGCTTTCAAAATATTTACAATGGGATACAGGGGTACTGATCAGTAGCATGTGCAAGGCCCTGGGTTTAATTCCCAGCACTGCCAAAAAATTACTTTTTTTCCTAGTGTGTATGTATATATACATATACATATATATATATACAATATTTAAAGCAGAAATGATAGAAAAAGTTGAAGAATGAAAGGGAATCTATTATAAACATTAAAGATGCATTTAATTTCTTTTTTTAACAGTACTAGAGATTGAGCCCAAGGCCTTGCACATGCTAGGCAAATGCTCTTTCCTTCACTGAGCTAAATCCCTAGGCATTTTTTATTTTATTTAGATGCAAGGTTTTGCTAAGTTGCCCAAGCTTTCCTAGAATTTGTGACCCTTCTGCCTCAACCTCCAAAGAAAATTTTTCTTAAAATCTGCACCAATTTCTTTCTTATACTATATTCTCCATCAGATAAAAGAAAACACCTTACTCTGCCATACTACCTAAAACTGGTATGATCTTGATATCCAAACTAACAGTAATTCAGGACAGGAAATTATAAGCCAATCTCATCCATATACATAAATACAAAACTCCTAACACTATATTAGCAAATTAAATGGAAATATAATAGAAAAATAAAATCTCATAACAAAATTAGGTTTAGCCAAATAGCAGTCACAGTTTCACAAGAGAGCTAGGGATGTGCTTCACTGGTAGTGTATTTGCAAGATGCCATCCCGAGCACTTACTAATGTAACTCATTATACTGATATTTCAGTCAATGCAAAAAAGCATTCAAATAAGTTCTATACCTAATCTCTGTAAGAAAACAAGACTATAAAATCTACAACAAATAACACAGATAATAAGATTCAAAGCATTTCCCTTCTAATCATTACTGACCACAAGAACAATGCAGTGTTGCTGCTCCAATTCAACCTTATGACAGAAGTCCCAGTCAAAATAATAATAACAATAAAAATGATGATGAAGGGGTTTGGGATTTAGCTCAGTGGTTCCACCGCCGGCCTTGCAAGTGTAAGGTCCTGAGTTCGATCCCCAGCCCCAAAAAACCCCCAAAAAACAACAAAAATGATGATGACGATGATAAATGAACTCAACAATATTACTGAATATGAAACCAAGATACCACCACTGAGGGAAAAAAAAGTATAGTGACAGCTGGGCATGGTGGTGCACGCCTGTAATCTCAGCTCCTGAGAGGCTGAAGCAGGAGGATCAGCACAAGTCTGAGGGTTGCCTGAGCTCAAAGTGACTTCAAGGCCAGCCTGAACTACACAGTGAGACCCTGTCTCAAAAAAATAAAATAAAGTGACAAAACACAAATGGCTCTAAACCATAAAAAAGTTCAATCTCATAATATGAGAAATTCATTAAAACTATATTAATAATGGTGCCAAAGGAGTTTAGTACCTATTGATTTTTTTCAAGCTAAACAAACTTGAAAAGCTGACAAGAAGGAAACGTGGACCTATCTGCTTCTTCTAGAAAACTCCAATGTAAAAGATTCCCTGCATACACCAGGAGAAAAGTAATATTTTCGTCATAAACCAACTCTTATCTTCCCAGATCTATTCCACCTAGTATATAAGAACTAAGGCCTAACCACTTTTTTTCAGACTTCATTTTGCTGTAAGGACTCTAATGCACACATACAGTTTTATTATATATACAACAGCATGCATCCGTCCTATTAATCTGTTTTACATCATTTTAATTCTTATGCCCAGCCAGAGACCCTACAATATTTAATTATAGTTTTAAGATTCTTTATATTTTTGTAATAAAAAATATTAACCAATAAACCATTATTATCTAGGACATGGCTCAAAATAATCTGAACGGAAGAGAATGGGCACTACAGAAACAAAATTACCCATGATCATTATACTATCCATAATACTTTTGAATAAGTTCAAATTGTTCAACTTAAATATCTAACTATATTGACATACATTTAATCGAAGAGCTTCTTTAAAAATCCAAAGTTTGGGCCGGGGATTTAGCTCAGTGGTTTTGTCACCTGCTGTGTAAGCTCAAGGACCGGAGTTCGATCCCCGGTACCAAAAAAAAAAATCCAAAGTTTGATGAAATTCTTTCATCATGAGTCAGACATGGTGGCATATCATGTTACTCAAAATTATAAATTCAAATACTTTGTAATCCAAAAATATTACTGCTGGGATTTTATCCTATACATATATTTGAACATGAGATAACTTCTATAGAAGATTATTCACTACAGCATTGTTCATAATACCAAATGAAGAGAAAACTTCAGATGTATAACAGAAAATTTCCTACAACTCCAAAGGAAAAAAAAAAGAAGTGGTCAATGTAAACATGGAATGAGAAAGAAGATATAAACTGGGAAAAGGAATACATACGACAATAGAAAGATCAGATTAATATCTCTTGTATAAACGGAAAAAAGGATTTGCATATATACATATATATACAAACTCTCTTGATTAAAAAAATCAAATTCAGATTTAAGCTAGCAGGCTGAAAACATTTGCTTCATTTTGACCCTTCTAAATAATCTAGGAAAATAATATTTAATTAACCAGGACTTAAAAATCTATAAAATAACCTCAAATTTTGGAAATAGACAAGTGATGACTAGTATAGCAACCCTAAGTAAAAGTTTGAGGCAATGGTAGAATGAAAAAAAGCCCTGAGATTCAAGCTACTTTATACCACAGAACTTTTAAAAGGTACAATAAGTGATAGTCCCAGGTTCACTTGGCATTGGATGTGAAAGGGGATGAAGCTAAAATAAAGAGGACAGGTTGTTACAGGCTATTTGAAAAACACTTAGATCGTAAGATCTTTAGCCTCTGAGAGAACACACTTTCTCCATTCCCAGCGGAAGACTGAAAGGCTTTTCTCTAGAGAGAGTAAGACAGAAGAACACTGAGTACAGGTGAATAGAAAACAAAAAAAAAAATCAAGAGGATTAAATGACAACATTAATACTTAATATTGAAGCAGCCTTTCCCTCTCCTCAATGTCTCTTTTCCCATTTTGCTTCCACAGTACTAACACCAGAACTTTATCCTTTAAGTGAGAGCTGAAAGTCTTCTCTGGGGAACTGAACAAGTCCATGAGGCAAGATGAAAATACACTACCTTGTAGAGGACTCCGAGAAACAGCACAACCAAAGCATCCCACCGCCCACTAAAAGATGACAAACACACAGATCTTTCAAACAGCTTCTATTTCAAACTGACAACTCTATGCAAACAGCCAAGGATTAACAGTTATCTAGAGAAATGTTGATCCAGGAAGAATACAAAGGAAAAAATTATTTTCATGATGAGAAGATGTTGCAGGTGTGGAACAACATAAAACATAACGAAAAATGAATAAGAATTAGAATGAGTAAGCATTATATAAAAATTGAACCTAAGCACCAGAAGTAAATTAAGGAAAATGTCCCAAATAGAAGAGCAAAAGCACAAAAGAAAGGAAAAGAATGTTAGTATATACAAGCAAGAAATTTTACAAGAGCAAAGACCTGGCTCAAACATCCAACACATAGATAACAGGAGTTTCCAAAAGAGGAAATAGTGACAAGAAAATTGTCCAAGAAATAATTTTTACAATTTCCCCCAAACAAAAAGGTATGAAGTTAGGAGGACTTTCAGCTTCTAGTACAGTGTATTAAACAGACCAGTGTTGCAGTACACAACTTCAGGGCAGTAGAAATAAAGAGGCTTCGGCAACCCTTCAGGGGAAAAGCAGTTCTTTATGGCATCTGGAATCCAAAGAATTGCTCTAAGTATAAAATGATATAAATGTAACATCATAAAAACTGATATCTAATATTATAAAGGCTAAATATATATTAGCCCTGAACAAATGAAATCATTTCTCCCTGACAAAAATAAAGTTAAAAACTCAAGAATAAATCTAACAAAGCATGTTTAGGACTTGTATAAAGAAAACTATAAAATGATGATGAAAGAGATAAAAGACAATCTAAATTAATGATGATATAACAGTGATATAGGCAGTCCTTGGTATCCACAGTTCCACAACCATCAATTCAACCAATGAAGATTGGATATATTTTTTAAAAGAAATACAGGAGAGGGCTGGGGATGTAGCTCAGTGGTAGAGTGCTTGCCTAGCATGCTCAAGGCCCTGGGTTCAATCCTAAGCACTGAAAACAATAGTATAACAGAGAACATGTATAGGTTATGTGCAAATACTATGGTGTTTCATATAAGGAACTTGTGTATCCCTGAATTTTTATCTCCATGGAGAAATGGGAGGCCTCAGACCAATTCTTTATAGAACAGAAGGGACAACATTGTAAGATTTAATGTAACTTCTACCAACACCCCAGCAAGATTTTCCATAAACATAGACATAATTATTCTAAAAAATATACAGGGCTAGAGGTGTAGCTCAGTGGTGGAAGGCTTGCCTAGCATGTACAAGGCACTGGATTTGAACCCCACCATGAATACATAAAATAGAGACATTTAATGGAGCTAGATTAGCTAAGACAGGCAAAATAGCGGAGTAGCAACGAGAAGTGCTTGGTGTAAGTGTCCTGTGGACTTCGGTTGCTGTCTCCACAGCAGCAGTGATTGCTGAGCGAAGAGCGCCTAGGGTAGTTGCCCAAGACACCAAATATCAAAATCTTCCGCAGCCGCTCCCACCAGGATTTATCCCAGAAGATCACTGCTGCTTGGGCCTGGAGCTGGGAAAGGTGACTAAGAAATTTAGCAATCAGGAGACGTGTGGAAATTGGCGAAAAGGTGTGGAGGATGTTTACACTGTTCAGAGTGGTTGTGGTGAAATCAATGACCATCTAATGGAGCTTTTGATCATGATTAATGCCTGCAAGACTGCCTCAGCCAGCTGGTCACTGCAGTCATCAAAAAATGACTATCTTGGGGCCAGGGATTTAGCTCAGTGGT